CGCTCCTTTCCAAAATCTACAGTAAGACTGAACAACATTGGTAAAAAATGTTATACATTATATAATATATTATATATCCTAACTACGGCCACCGTTACATAATATAAACCTATTATACTAACTATATACATATATATATACCTACTATTAATATTTCTATTCAATCATCCTCTTCGGCCCTTCGGCCCATTCCGCCACCAACGTTTTTCCCTATTTTCGGATACGGCTTTCGGCCAAGAATTTCCCATTCGCGGCTGCACCCCTATTCCCTTTATGTGGAAGCCTGTTCACGCCTTGTTTCCCGTGGTGGCAGAAAACCCTTCATCCCTCTGAGTTGCTCTGTTCCCCCTCGCATTTGAGATCCGATTCAAATTTCCACCACACATATTTCCCTAAAACAACTAAATTGGTTCAGCAAGGACACTCGCAATCTCTATCAGAGCGATTAGCTACTCACATAGGTCTCTATGGATCCGTTACCACTTTGTGCCGGTAAGGCTCTTTCTTGTGGAGACAGTTCCTCGTTGTGGAACATGTCCTACAGATTGCCCCACCCTCCCCTGTTAAAAGAAATGACCTGCAACGTTACACAACTAATTCGTCCTAAGATGGAGTTGCAGACGTTGAATCAAAAAAGAGATGGTACAAGCATCCCATCACCTTGTCTCTAGTGCAAGATGGGGGCTCTGGCCCATCCACCCTCACACACCCTGGCAAACTTTATGAAGCGGCCATGGTCAAAGTTGTTCTTGATGCCCAGGTGGTAGCAGTCCCTAAGGAAACAGAGGTCAGGAATGTGTAGATAAAAGGTGATTAGTTAAACTACAAAAAAAAGAATATTGATGTATCACTTGGAACATTATTATTAAAGGAACTAACAGCTCAGCAAGCCCCACCTGGCAAAGTAATCCCATTTGTCCACATCAATGCCGTTCCTTTTATTGGCCACGATTTCATAAAGGAAGGACTTGTCTTCAGGACGGCCTTTATATGGCCACTGTGGAGAGATCAGATAAAAGTCAGAACCAGCTTTATTTTCCCAAGTATGTTTAACCATACTCATATTTAACTCTGGTTCCCACTGGCTTTCATTGTTTGTACGCAGCGCTAAGAAAAAAAGAAGATAAACAAATGTATCACGTAGCTCCTACTATGAGGTTAAGATGGATGAGCAGTATGCAGTCGATGATTAACTCAAACATTCAATAAAAATGCTTTTTATAACATCTTTGAGCATAGTCATAAATGTGTAAACACGGAGCTTAAAAAATATTAGGCGGAGTGATGCAAACAGACAAACATTTAGACACACCATTAGAAAATTGAAGAGACTAGACACTAAGGAATGTGTGTGTTTTGCCAAGCCCTGAAGATGGAAAAGGGCAACAAAGTTTTCTGTAACCGTGCATGACCTGACATATCCACATCAAACTGTGTGACACACACACACACACACACACACACACACACACACACACACACACACACACACACACACACACACACACACGACACACACACACACACACACACACACTACTACTACTATACATACTACTATACTAGAACGTACTAGTATACGT